GCGAACTCATAAGAGTTCCGTACGAACGTATTTGTCAAATATCGGGATGCTTCGTATGTTGGAGAACCGATACCATCTACAATGGGTCGAACGGGAACTTCGGGCTTATGTATTTTCGGTAGCCCATAGATCCTAGGTGGAATCGTTGATTTCGGATATACGCTATACCATTTACCCGGCCCTAGGTTGTCCTTCACACTTCTCAGGTAGTTTCCCACCTCAGTTTTACACTTATTCATTATGGACGATACGGATATTTTCTCAATTGCTTCGTAGGGCCCTTCTGCTAAATGCTGTTTCATTTTTTCCATATAATTCGATTTGTTCATTATCACTACGGTGTTTCCTTTATCGGCTTTCGTGATGATGATGGTGGGGTCTTCTCTTAAGGCCTTTAATGCGGTACGCTCCGCTGGTGTAAGATTTGGCTCCCCAGGCTTCTGAAATCTGATGATGTCTACCATCTGTGCACGAATATTCTCAGCTGTTGATACTGGTAGTTTCGTCATCACGGTCTCAACGCTAGTAATAATTTCCTCTGCAGTTAGGTTAGACTTATTTACAGAAAAGTTCAAACCCATTTTTAGCAATATACGTTCCGTCTCACTCAACAACCTATCTAACATATTAACTACATTGTAATAGTTACTGCTAGATTCAGACCTATCTACGAGACTAGTGGTCCTGCTATGCATAGACATCAAATGATTGAACTTACGAACTTGTCTTTCTTTCGCAGCTATCCCTTGCGTTGATTTCACTTCCGAGGCCTTGTTGTAAAGTCTATCATAGTCGGTCTGCGTTATAGCAGTCTGCAGCTCCCAGCTCAGCCGATTAGCATGAAGGCGGATTTCATTCAGGCGCCGAGTTGTCATATAAATCTGTTGTCTTAGGAATGTGAACGACCGGTGTCGTGGATCAATGAGAAACGCTCCATGCTTGTTGTTTCACTGACATGGCCACTTAACCTATTGACCTGTAACACATTATCCAATGGTTCTTGTTATGTTTTACAACCTTCAACTTATGTTCCCATAAAAAGCTAAGCCAATTTTGTAACGATTCACCTGGCCTGAAGCTCTTGTGTCAAGGGCGAAACGTTGCCACAATAAAACCCTACCAAAACCGATTTGTATTCAAACCTTCTGAAATCACGAAATCCCAGTCGGTTCCAAGCATATTCCGAGATATTGGTACGTGAGTACCGTAATGAAACTTTCGGTCACCATTGGATCCGTCGGATAGGACCAATAGATTGGGGGGCACGGCACCGGATTTGAACCCGTAGAATTTCTTCCCTTAGGGGTACTTGAGACGTAGATTTTATAAAAGCAAGCGCACTTGTGTGGAAATACTGAAACGGAGCATCATCAACTAATGTTGCGGGATTTTGGTGGACGCTTTGCAAAAGGTGCTAGCTAATAGCATCCGGCGAGTGCTGCTCTGCAAGCAAAACCACGGCGCGGATTTTAAACAGCTAGTTCGTTGATTTTTATGCTCGTTTAACATACTTCATGTGAATCTACCTATACTGCATAACGATTGATTTCACGATCAAATGGATGCGTTGGATAATTGTGCCAATACTTCGTCGGGATCGAATGAATGCTAAGAGAATTGCCTAAAGAGAACAAGACGGTTATGTGAGAAACATATACGGAAAGAGTTACATGTACTTATAGATGGATCTCAGCCCGAGTTACTCGCTTGTACGGAAACGCGGTTGTCTCAGGCCATCAAGGATGCTGGAGTACATCGATCTAACTAGGCATTGTGTAGGCGCAATCGTTCAGTTATCCGATGTCGGAAAACAAAACCGTTGAAGCTTCCTAGGCTGTGTTACGCTCTTGCAAAGCAGGATCAGCTACTTCCGTTGCAGACCTTAATTTAACCTAGTGTCCAAGTCACTCAAGTTTGTAGGTGACATAACTTACGGCGCTCCACTGTGTGCTAGTGATCACGTTTGTCTGTGCTTCTGTTGTACTCGGTCTAGACGTCACCGGGTTGGAGTCCACGTGACTCGTCTTGTGCCTGGCTCTAGACTTTACAAGACATGACTCGCAGTAGACCCCATTAGCGCGTCTGCTGCTGTCTTTTAATTGGATTGCCTGTTTAAAGTGTGTTTTGGTGCTGATTTATCTGCAGGGTAATGGCTGATGATGACGCGTGGCAGTGAAATTTGCAAGGAAGCTGTTTCGCCGATGCCGCCTTATCTTTGCACGATAACCAGCTGTTTGTGACGGTATGTTGTCTACACAAGGTGTAGGCGCCTTGACCCTGAATGTCTGCTTAGGGCATTAAGGTTTTTCATTTAAGGCCTTCTCTCCCTTTTCTTATTCTTTATTTCATAGGTCGTCATGGTTGTATGGCAGCGAAGCATCAGTTCAAATGGCTGATGTACTGCTGTTGATAATGATGAATCGGTCCACAATGCACTGGAGAATAAACTTCAGGGGCTGTGTTTACGGCCATCTTGTGAATGTACTTACGATCATTTCGTTGCATGACCCCCACTCTGTTTGACCACCACGTGAAACATCACCACAGCACCCCAAACATATTTGGTTACCACATGTCGCTTAGCAGTTTCGAGAGGCTGAGATACTCAATGTGTAACCCAGTACCGAGACCGCTCACGCTGCCATTTCGCACTTCGTACGGCAATGTCGGTAGCCATTGAAATACTAGTCATCCGAATGTCCGCTTGACTCCACACAACTGCTTGCATGTTAGTCCGCATGTGACCAAGGCAGTGCGCCGTAGCTTGCTTGAGGCTCTTCTTGTTATTGATCCAAGCGACACAGACACAGCGAACAGGCAGGGATCGCTTTGGCTAGCTTATTAACCTGCTACAGAGCGGTGTATCCATCGATCGTGTCAAGATCAATCAGTGCGGCGAACGCATTTCTCATTCACCTCGTGCGAGTTGTTCTCCCTGCCAATCCATCGTTACAACACGCGTCGCGCAATGCTGGCCTAGCATTCAAAGATCGATGTGGCAACTCATGTCGGTCTTGGACTGTTTGTCCATCCAGCGTCAGAACCCCGGTACCGAAGATGCAGGTCCGCTGGCCTGGAATTCTGCCATCACTGCGGCCCGTCATATACCTGTGACCGGGTGAGCGATATTTTGAAAGACCAGCACCTAGCATTGGCCAGTTGGTAAGGCGCGCACGTGGTTCAACGAGCAACGTAGTAAAATGGGATCATTCTTAAGGAGCATACTGTATATGCGTTCACAGCGTCGTGGTAGGTGGCAATGAAAAGGAACCCGCAGATCGATATGCACAATTACATGGACGGAGTCCATGATCGTGCTCCAAGACGAGTTATATTTCTGACTGTAGATTCGCCAGCCGTAACTGGTCGCGATGTGATCGATTCGCGTCCGTGAGTGGTTCGACACTGGTGAGGGCCACATCACTCTTTTGCGGGTGCTGTGCCAGAAGTTAGTGCTCACGAGAAATAGACGAGCATTTTCACACAGGTGCAGCAACCGATCGCTGTTGTCTGTACGTGAGCTTACACCATGTTGGCAACCCAAATGCAACTCATCTTTGGACAGATTTTTAATTCGAGCGATCAGACTAAAAGCCAGCACAACCCTATCCGTGCTTCTTCTGTGACGAAGGCACTCCTTAACTTGACGATGGAAGTGATCTTTCACCAAGTAGTGTTTAATGTGTTAGTAGTGTATAATAGGATAATAAGTAGTAGCTTTAAGAAACCCAAGGGCTAGAAATTGCTTTAAACGTGCCAAATAGCGGACGGCACTCATCTGGCTGCTGAGTTGGATCCAATCAATCAAAGTGGCTTTAGCCCGAAGGTCACACTAAAGTTCACGCTTGCTTGATCGACACTTGAGGCTGTGTTATCTCCGGAGTAAGTGTCGAAAGAAGCGGATTGCAAGATAAGCACAGAGCTCGAGTGTTGCAAGTAGGTTACTGATACGCGGCAGATAGCGATCATTAAGTTCTTGACCTTACGCGAAGCGTTACCTTTGGATCGATCTCTAACAAGTTGCGCATGTTGACGTATTCTAGTCTTAGCGGGGATGAAGTGTTCCAAATAGAAACCGTTAACATCACTGTCCGCTTGGTTGGACACGAACTTGTCGACAGAGCAGGACTGATAGTCTGCCACTTCTTTCGAGTCGAAGCGTGTATAAAAGCAAGGTGAGGAAGCGCCAAAGATTGCAGCGGAATTGAAACGGGGATATAAGTGAAATTGGAACTGGATGATTTGGATTGGAAGATCGTAAGAGGGTGTTAATAGTCGGTGATGATTTGAGCAGTAATATACTCACACATATCCACCGTTGATTATCCTCTGCCACTGCCAGAGGATCGAATAGCTGGGTGATGAGAAATTCATTGTATTGAGTTGGCAGCATATTAGCAGGTTGCCCAGGTCTTGATAGGAGAATGACTAGGGTTCTCAATCAAAGCTTTGGTTCAAACACATGATTGCTAGGCATGGGAATTTCGACCCTTTACTCCGTTTTGTGGAACAAAGAGCCACCCTCTCAGCACCGTTTGATCTGGAGGGCCAGGAGACTAGGTTTGTCTGGCCTCTAACCATTCACCATCATCATCAACAGTAATACATCAGCCATTTGAACTGATGGTTCGCTGCCATACAACCATGATGACCTACGGAATGATGAAAAAGAAAAGGTACTTACCGGAAAGCCTTAATACCCTAAACAAACATTCAGGGTCAAGGCGCCCACACCTTGTCAACATTGACCAATCTGGTATGAGTGTCTCTGAAGGGGCAGAAAGCAGTACCCAGCATAGCTCAACGGATCGTTAAGGCACGCCAACCAACGCACCAAATTAAGGTCCAGACTCGTGGCGATGGAAATAGTAACATAAAAAGTAAAGGAGAGAAAAAACATTTTAATCAAAAGCGGGCTGGGTTTGCTCATGAAGCTTGCATTGGCTGTGGTAACGTTGTCAGACGGGGCGAAACAACATGGCAGGAGAAGCGAGACGTACATCACCCAGTTGTTCGAACTGCATCACTCCATTCCACACGCCACAGACGCGTGCGACCAGATTGTTCGGAGATGTCGATTTCGTGTTCGATGGAGCAAAAACTTCGGCAGTGATGCGATGCAATTTGTTGCCTCGCAATGGCTGAGAGTATAGAAAAAGGTGTCAGGGGAAAGCGCTATAGTCGAGTAAAAAGTATTTTTCGCTGAGTCATGATAAACAGGACTATCCGAATGCCGTTATTCGGTTAATCCGATGTCAGAACACACAGTACTATGAATGACGTGGCTCAAAATGCATGCGGGAACCGCTACAATAAAAATACATGGAATCATGCCAATGCCGCAGTAAAATGTACACCCTGGGCATTCGGTGTTCATGCAACTAAGCCAAAGTGACATAACATTCAATGGGGGTGTAAAATGCAGTCAATGAAGTGAATATCGTTGAGACAGAAGGTTTAGTTAAGACAAACTAACTCAAATGGAGGGACAACAGCGATTTCCTATGGGAAGTTGGGGACGAATCGGTATGCGACAGGATGCAGATAAAGGTGGAGCTATTGACCATGTATGCAAATATATGAAGATAAGAACGAGAATGGCATGCAGTGTAGGAACATCTACACGACTGAAAAGAGGATCGAAGCTTTTCGAGCAAAAGCAAATCTCACTTTACATCAGATTAAAAGCGGGTAGAGTGGAGCAGAATGAGTCACCTTAGTGAAGAAGTTAACAGAGGCCGAATAGCCGGTTTGCGGACAGTTGATGGAAACCTTGTCACCCAACTCCAACCAAGGAGTTTTCATGATGGATCGAGCGTACGCTATGGGGAAAGAGAAGTGGTATTCCTCTCCATCGTGTTCACCCAGATGTAGAACAGCTGGAAAGAAACAAAAGGGCTGGTTAAAAAAAGGATCACGAAAAAGTGCGTAAACAATAAAAGCATCAAGCAGCAGGGAAGGTAGACAAAGAAGATGTAGAATACGGGTGCAACAACGGAGGAACACTTCGATCAAAACAGGGAGACAGTAGGTGAAACGTATCTTCGGTGTCAACGGAAATTTCCAATAAAACATGCAAACCTGAGAACAACATTAGCTGTACGACATACATGAGATAAGATTTGTGAAGCACGTAGCATACGTAACCGGGAATAAGTACACTGAAACCAAATTCATGGGAGCAAGTAAAAGATCACGGAATCTGCTGTCAATATCATCGAAGAACTATACGGTACATCCAACTACATGGAGATCCACAGGGCGTGTGCACTATGGCACTTATGATTTCAACTAAAAAACTAAAACTTGGACGCACGAATGTTTAGGATCCAATCCACACTTTGGGTACCTATGACTTGTTGGCGCATTAATTCGCGCAACAAGGCCAGGCGAATTCCGGTAAACTGTACTCGGCAAGCATTAATGAACCTCTTGTCAGCCTTCAGCTAGTGCGGGATCAGTGTCGACTAGTCAATGCAACATGTAATGGTAGAAGGGCCCGAAGTGCAGTTGCTTTTGCGACAGAATCAGCACTCGAGTTGGGCGTTGTTACGATGAAGGACAGATAAACAGTACCGAGGTGCACCGAACAGAAGTATTCGATGATACATAGTAAATGTGGGTACTTCAAGTGATTCATTTGTTAGACGAACTGTTCGCTAAAGTTGGCAGTTTCGTTGGAAGGGTTTCGCATCAGTCGAGGTGCGTTAGTGTGTAGCGTAGCGTAGCAATGCGTACAAAATCACAAAATATAAGTTTACAAGTAGCGACGACTTACTTTTCCCAAAAAGTGTCACACTGACACTCATACCTTGAAACTTCGATTTAATGTGCACACAGGAATCCAGTCGCATGCGGTTGACCGGAGACTCAACATGAAACGCTGTGATTGGTGGATGGTGGGAGACTTGCTCTGCACAGTAGGTGATGATGTCAAAATTCATGTCCTGTGGGGAATCAGAGGGAGCGTCTGTGAGATCGACCCCTGTCGAACGGCCACTGGGAGGCATAATCCAGCAACAATGGAAGCATTCACCAACGATCGGATTATACGGTTTTTTCGCGACCTTATCCTGAAAAAAGAGGAAGGAAGACTTAAACAGGTGTACACATTTCTGTGTATGGATGCAGTCCACCCTCTCTCCCACGACGAGAACCGTACTCAGCGGGGTAAACCAACAAGGCGAATCACGGCGGATAGCCGAAAGCCATTATCACCAGATCCACCAGATTCCGGCAGCGCAGTCGGTCGTATTGACGGATCTAGTGATAAATGAGCGGAACCTACAAACCTCCCCAAAAGTGCGCTAAACACGGAAGGATACTGCTAACTAACATATGACTCCGTTAGACACACATGCATAGAACGATGATGTTTAAAATGAACAAAGCCAAGAGATTGAATGGAATCAATGCCCAGAATCGGTTGAGCACTTTCTAAAAGATAACGAACTCCAACTGATGTGAGAATTCGTCTGCGGAATTGATCCCTTTGATCGTGACCAAAACTTATGGCTGGAGCTTGGAACCGTTCCACATGCACAGGAATCCCTGATTAGGTCGCATACGAATTCCTCGACACCGATTCGCTGGTAGTATGTTGATGGTAGCAACCGCGTCTAACTGGAAGCGCATCATTTCGTTGCCAACCAATAAATTTGGGTCCTGTCTGCTGATTTAATGTTCATAGTCGGAGGGTGCTAGGTCATGATTGAGTGTATTCACTTTGGAAGACTGGCAGCATAGAGCGAAATGATTCTGTCTTCAACTTTTAGCGGAAATCTTGCCCCACACTGAATGTTGATCGCGCGGCGCAGAAATTGTAAGTTCCATGTGCCATGGTAACAGGTCACACAATTTTGTCAGGTAAACTGGATAGGGCACAGAGCTTTGTATCGGTGGGCAACCGCATTTGCTGGATGTGGTGCGCATCTGATGATGCACTGTGACATATATAAAGGCATTGTCTGAGCGATAAATGCCGTTGCCGCAATAAACGCTTGTGGTGGTTTCTTCATTGATTCCATGCGCGATTCTATCTCGGATGAAACTGTCAGCTATACAATTGCAAAAATTACAGGAACGAGCCGGGATCTTCAGCTCCGTAACGCAGTTCTCGATAGATCCGTTCGGCCATCTGTTTCGAGTAAAGAGGAGATACCGCTAATACGTCTCGTTAGTCTGGCCCACGCAGAAATCGCCGAATTTGCGGATGACTGTTTCCAAATCGGCACGGTCTTCGTACTTTTAGTACTGCGTACGGCGTGTCTTATCTCCAATTGTATGTCTAAGGATAGCCAATCGACACGCCATCGGTTGTTCATTCAGCCGCACCAGTAAACAAAAAGCGATCCACTTGCTTCTGCAACCCTTCCACTTACCGGGCAAAACTTGCTGTTCCATATTCAACGGGGCATGTGTTTGCACGGCTGGCTGCGCTCCAATCAGCATCTTGCCATCTTGCCTGGGTCTTTTCTGATGTCATGTTGCAAACTCGGTCCTTCAGGGGCAACAGTTTTAGTCGACAAAGCAAGCTCAGCGAAAATGACAGGATGATTAGGTTGTAGAAGCCTCAGTGTGGGTAACTAGGTCACTTCATTAACTAACAACGCTGCTGCATTCATGAGATTCTTCCTTTGAATAAGCCAAATAAACTCACTTCGGCGCTGGCAAATAAGAACCAATCAGCGTATAAGCAAAGATGCGTAGGCGTCCAATCATCTGTTTCGTTCGCTTACGGCAAGCTAAGCGCATGCATTTACATGTAAATTCGTCTCCTTCCTATGACTGCATAATGTCATCATAATCAGTAGGTTGAAAATGAGCGGGCTTCAATTAACCAGAGTGTAGTCCTCCTAGACAGAGCTTCTCAATTCCACCGGTGCTGCGCGGACTTAAGGTGAAAGGCACTGCTACCAAGTAAGCACTCAAAACAACGTATTGACTAATCAACCCGGATAGTAGCGTCACTATCTTTCAACGGTAGGTCCTACGTCAGAAGGGTCAAGTAGACGGTAGAGCATTAATCGGAGTATTCATTACAGCTGCATCAAAGAGGCATTAGTGTGGTGGATGGTCTACACAATATAATAATTTAAGACACGTTTTACTATAATGACTAAACATGCATGACTGCTTTCACGAAAACCGAATATTGGCCCAGGTGCCACCTGTCAAATCCACCTGCGTCGGATGGGCGCACGTACGCAACTACATTGCCACACCGATTCCAAGTTCTCGGTAGATGATGAGCATCACGAGGGACGATGATGCGAACCTCTCCAGCGACAGCATCAGGATAAAAGAGATGTTACGAGCATTCACACGGCTACAGTGAATTGTGTTAGTGGAATGTGCAGTAAGCAGTCTACAATTGTGCTCGCGCTCTCATGAAGATCGATTCAATTGCAATGCTCACGAAATGTCGCCGTGAGGCTCCCCAAATACCCTCTAATGACAAGTCGCGAAACAGTGAGAGCAGTCTCTGAAGCAGTCCCCGGGATACTAACCGGTCGCATCAATAGAGTTCAGTGTGATAAGCCGTCTCAATCGATCTGCCCAAATTGCGCTTTTCTCTTATTTGCGAATACGCATTTGCACAAACCAAAAGCACGATTGGCGAACCCGGTCCGGTGCTGAGGCCAACATGGAAACAGAAAGAATGAAGATGAAGGTGGTGATCAAATGACATATGCCTAGTGTCCAAGAACGTCGTACTTTGTAGAACACTGATAGTAATAAGAAAATTGGCTACTTGTGCATAAGCTCGCAATATTTCTGAGAAAATGCAACGTAACCAAGAACTATTGGGAATGGGACCACAAACACAGTCATAGAAAAAGCCGATGCGCCATAACTGGTTGATGCAAACGCGACAAAAATGAAAACGGAAAGAGAGGCGTACCATTCTTCCAGCGTGAAATGAAGTGAGATACCACTGTACAAAAGCAACCATCCGGGCTTCGGGGTCTTCACCACGGTTGATACTGCGAGGGGAGGAATGGTAACGTAAACTATGGGTAATGAAATCAAGAGAGGTCAAGGTTATAAGGCGAATTTTCGAAAAGATCAATTGATCACTGATATTCAACTACGCGGAGTAGCTATTAGCTGCAGCTAAATCCCTAATCAATGGATGCAAAGGAAAAGTGCTTCGGAGACGCGACTATCATCGACAATGATAGCACACCAACGCCATGCATAGACCCAATGCAATCATAAGTAAGCCAGATGATCCCACTGAAAATGCGACAGAAAGAGGATCAAACAGGCCAGATTTGCACAGTTCACATGATGCTGGGTTTGTGGACAGTAACCATCAAGCTGGAAATGGAGAATGAAATCTGACAACCAGATCGGGGAATGATGGTTTGTCTTGTCTTCCAGTGAGGGATCAATGTGAAGCACACCTTGTACGTGGCTGGGGATCTCACATATGATATGATGCTCATAACATGCACCAGCGGTGCGTTTTCCAGCTGGACTGACTGTATCAGCTGTATTCTTGCTATCATATCCATGGTGATTGTGACGCAAAGCAGTGAAAAATGTAAACTTGTCTCGTCGATGTGGGGTGCCGTGTAAACGCACAATAGTCAATGGTCTATGACTGTGGTGCTAGCATGGTGCGTGTGCACTGAAGATTCGCGAAGCGAATACAGTTTATGTAAATGTTTCCACATCTCACATCCACGTATTCCTTAAGAAGAGGGTTATTATGAATCTAACACAGAGAAGCGGTACAACGTATTGGACCACACGGGCTTCCGGTTGGTGTTCGGACTTTAAAAGCAGGTTTAATTAACCTCTCATGCAGTCCTCGATAAGAAACATGAAATATTATCGGTCGCTGGGAATAAGGAACAGTGCAACTAATATACGACCGATGGGTCACATTCCGTGGGAGCATAGAGCGATATATAAAAGACGGGAAAATATCAAGGACCGTTGTTTAGTAAAGGCGCTTCACTTTTATAGTCGCATCGTACATATGCGGGTATTCGCTGAGGTGTATGCTAGCGTAGTCGCTGCCACCCATTTGCAGAGAGTAATTCAAAAGACGAAGGTTACTGACGCGGCACAGCAAAAAACGAGAAGCGTGTAAATCCTGTAATTGGAAACCGAGTCTGTTAAGCCAAATGTAACTGGACGCTGTCTGGTGTTTGTTTCGGAAACAGTATACATCAATTAGGAGGGTGTGCATAACGAGTGTCTATGGTAATAAACACGGTGATGATAAGAACGTACACCAATCCCAAAACATTTTGTTCAATGCGGTATAACAAAGTAAAGTGGGTGGGTGGACAATTCACCAATGGCTCGCTGCCGTGTTTCTACAACGGCAAGGATCTACTAAGTTCTGACAATCTATTTCACTCCTACATCGGAGGACTATGAATTTAACACCCGCAATGCGTTCGCATAGCTATATAAGTGGTAGTTTCTTCGAAGTTACTCCTCATGATTCATCAAATGGGGGTCAAATCCACGGCATACGCCTGTGCATCAGTAACCGCGGTGGCTTCAAATGGACTCGATGGTGAGAATGCAGGAATTGTGAATCCGTCTGCGAGTAGGTAAATTGGAAGTTGAGTGTCTCGATAGGGCTTAGAGAGTGAGCGGCATACTAGCGCGCATGAAGACATGGCTAGAATGTAGGCAGGTGCGCCGGAGAGACAGGTACTCATGCGGAGATAGTAATGCAACTGCGCTGAATCAACAACATCGCTTTGTTCGAAAGGTACTAGGTAACGCGATACGGGCGCTAGTGATGCAATGCATTGCAGCTGCAACAAAGCATGTGGTCAACACGTGGCTTAGAGAAACCGATTGTGATTTTCGGTGCGGCAAGTATTGATTCAGAAAGATTCTGTTATGCGCGGTTAGCTAATCTTATACGTATCCAGAAACGATGATGTATAGTTATTCAGGTATACGGAGAAGATAAAAATGACCAGAAAACTCATCTGATGACCTCAAACAGTGAGGGCATACGAAGAATTAATAGTAGGACACCGCAGCTTCAGAAAAAGTAAGAGAATGCTGATGGGGTGCACAAGTACAGCTGTCGGCGGAAATCTATGCGAGCGTACTGACGACCAGAACGCCGTGAGTGCAATTTCAACACAAAGCCATCGTACCATACGCGGGTGACATGGGCAACATCAACGGAATCCGGCTAGGGTAACCGAAAATCAGTTATGCTGTGTACGAGTGGTGTGGCCCATGGACACCGTAGATAGGAGGAGAGCAAGGGTAAGGTCTATTGGACAGTCTAGCGTAGGGCGATTAACATACATCGACATTGGAGGTGTAACAATAGGGGTCAACTCCTATTGGTTGATTATCAGAATGATATGAAGTGAATTGGAGAGGAAGAGAATAAAGAAAAATGATTCGACCATGCAGCAGGTATGCACATGAAAGAGCAGTTGCGACTGGAGGGAATAATTTTTTCTCGGCAACATGGCCGCATAATCAAGCAAGGATCTTCTATGGATTCGGCGAGTGGTCAATGTTTGGAACAGTTTGTCGGAGCATATAGTGGAAGGAAACTCAGTGCAACGGCTCAAAGGATTGTTGGATGTGCATTTTTCTAATGTCAGATTCCGAAAACGATTACCGACTAACAATGAGATCTCACATTCGTGAGTCCAACTTATTGTGAGGTATACGTATTTGTTACGATACCATGCAAAAGCGATTGATGTGCAGACAGGTGATAGATTGTATTTTTACGGTTTTGATCAAATTTCGATGCAGTTGTACAGATTGACATTACTGCTTGCTCGCATATAGCAATCCGTATTCGTGGCCCACAATTCAACATGGAATGGGATAAGAAACATGTTCTTCAAAAGCACCAGATGTATTTTTGCGACAAACAAATCCCAATATGGCCTCCTTAATAAACGATCTTGCACAAACTGTCAGTTGCACCATCTGGATAACACCGCAGAACCCAGCTGTTCTTAGACATACAAAAAGCAACTACTGAGAAAATCGTGTTCATGAATCACTGGCGAGTCAGCTGATCTCCTACCTGAGTGGGAGTTCCCATAAAGTCGAGCTGAATGACCATTACACTTCCCACGACTAACCATCAGTGTAATTCAAGGAACCGTAGTTTGTTCTTCACCTTTCCAGCGCCAGATCAAAGAATACCCCATGTTAATGAAATATGGCGTCATTGTTGATTGCCAACGGTATGAGTATCGAAAGGACAATGTTGCTCATTCATGAAGACATCGTTTTACTTGAGGAATAGCGTGACGGATAGATGATAAAATTTTCAGGCATTTAATCAACCATTATGCCTCAAAGGTGCTAGGTCCATGAAGGATCAATTAAAAGTAATAATGAACGCATCTGTGTAAAACTGTATATTTGTGATCTAGGAATACGCTCTTATTCCAATTTACTCCTTTAAGAGTAGGCCGAATAGCAAGTAACTACAGCGAGACAGCTTATGGCCAATATATGCCACAACATTCAGGCAGATCCTGTCAAAATCGAATCCTTACTCTTCTCAAACTTGGGTACAGCAGCATTCTTTAAGGGAACATTCGTGTATGAGATAAAGAAGCAATGAAAAACTTACGTATGTCTTTCACCAAACGTTTGCTTAGCAAAACGCCCATCCTCACCAAACAGGAGCGTACCCAACAGTCTCGTCTCGAAGCTCTTTGGCTGCGACGACTGAAACACGACGCACCTGCACAACCTGAGAAACCAGAAGGCTTACCAAGACACACAGCAGGTACTCTAAAATACGACATTAAACTTCTGACCGTTTCGTCGAACGCTACTCGCGGATATCAATGGCCTTGTGATCATAGTGATAGCCGCTAACCACTATATGCTGTTCCACTCCCAGGTCAGGCTATCACAACTGATGAGTCCAAACAGGGACGAAAGGCGTTGTGAGGTGCAGTAATGGGTGAGACCAACACCGAAACCTTCCACTCCAGAAAATTTACCGTCCTAACTTGCTGCCCTGAGCATACTCTAATTGGCGGAACCTCGTTAAATGATACTTGGTCGTTGGGCTGACATGTGGAACGACATGCATTTCGTTTCGAGCAGTTGCACGTTCTACCTCCACTACAATTACGTCTTCTAATACATCATTTCGTGTTGTAGCTATCGACATGAATTTTTCAATTCAACCTCCATCGTCATTTTGGACTGACTGTGTAAGCAGACCTAAGTCAGATGACTGGCTTCCCTTAGAGAACTTCCTTCCAGAATTATTCGGATATAATTACCGACCTACAGGCTCCGATCAGCGAAGAAAACAAATTGACGTTGATTCGTCACTTGTCAGAGATGAGAAGCAGCGGCAATTGAATGACGAGCCTCCAAGTACGCACATCAGTTAAAGATGCATTCAATGCTCTCGACCGCATTTGAGGATCCCAAATGATCCGGCAATGTATGTGTTCTCCAGAATGTAACAGTACCTCATTGAATCGCCAAATGATTTCATAATTAGATTTAATCTGCAATGTGGTCGAGCGATTACTATTCTATTCTAATCGAAGCCTGCATCTTGAAGCCACCTTTAACATTAAGAATTACTGATAACCGCATATGTGGAATACTGCCTGGGATCGATCCTATGATTTGGCCAGTGAACATGGAAATTACGTTAGAATCGAAAGAATTCTGTTCAATAAGCCAACTAATGCGGCAAAAATACATGCTACTCCACAGTTAGCAGGGAATAAACCATACTATTACCGTTGTGGTAATATCTCTCCCTAGGTCACTTTACCTCTCGTCCCGCCCGCTGTCTCACATGCGAAAACTGTGGAAATGTCTGACATTATGCTCGCCATTGTCGATCAGCAGATCGCACTTGTTGAGCAGCACTCTGTTCCCGAGCACAAGGTAATCGATTCAGCAGAGTAAAATGTTTATTCCGTTACCGATGATACTAGCAACTTATTAAATGTGATCATACCTGCTGTTGAACTGAAACCTC